AACGCCCACAAATTGTGAAAGTATGCACTGTCACTCTAAGACATGTTAAAACCTGTTGGTTGGTTTTGTGGGTGCGTTCGTATCTATCGGTAAACACAAACATTTTTAAAATCAAGCTATTATTTTATAAGTTATGGGTTAAGGAGTTATATGCCGCCTCTCTGCCGCTGCTTAGCCACTGATCGACTGCTGTTCTGCCGCTGCTAGCAGATGAGAGAGAGAAAGATAAGGAGAAAGAGAATTACAGAACTGTTAGCGGGTGGTTGTGTGTGCTGCACCCTCTTAGCTTCCAGTGTTGGCCTAAACTTTGATTGGAGAAATACTAAGTTTTAATAGTAGTCGGGAAACGTGAATATATGTAGCTTTCTCTCTTGTTTGTTTATTCATTTAATCGCAATAACAAGTTTTCTGGCAACACTTTATAAAACCTAGGAGCCCGATAAGTATGCTTATGGAAGGCGTAATTAGTCCTACAATTTTTAATTAAGGAAGGTTAATAAGAACGTGAAATTCTGCATGGCACGAAAAAAATCTTCTTTAAAAACACACTCAGGGCAATCTATGCTGCCAGGTTGACCAAAAAACGCAAAATGAATATAAAAAGCGCCATTCTGAATTATTAAATTCATAAGTAGAGAAGTTAACATATTTTTTCAATTATCTTTATACCCTTGCAGAGGGTATTATAATTTCAGTCAGAAGTTTGCAACGCAGTGAAGGAGACATCTCCGACCCTATAAAGTATATATATTCTTGATCAGCATCACTAGGCGAGTCGATCTAGCCATGTCCGTCTGTCCGTCTGTCCGTCCGTTTATATGCAAACTAGTCTCTCAGTTTTAAAGCTATCTGCATGAAACTTTCCCAAAAGTTGTCTTTCTATTGCAGGTAGTATATAAGTCGGAACGAGCCGGATCGGACGACTATAGCATATAGCTCCCATAGGAACAATCGGAAAAATAAATGAAAAAAATTATAACTTTGCTGTTTTTTAATTTTTTGTTTAGTTCTTCGACATTTAGTAGTGGTTAAATATTTCCGATTTACGGTTTAAATTTCATCAAAATCGGACGACTATAGCATATAGCTCCCATAGGAACAATCGGAAAAATAAATGAAAAAAATTATAACTTTGCTGTTTTTTAATTTTTTGTTTAGTTCTTCGACATTTAGTAATGGTTACATATTTCCGATTTACGGTTTAAATTTCATCAAAATCGGACGACTATATCATATAGCTCCCATAGGAACAATCGGAAAAATAAATGAAAAAAAATTATAACTTTTCTGTTTTTTAATTTTTTGTTTAGTTCTTCGACATATAGCAATGGTTAAATATTTCAGAATTATGGTTTAAATTTTATCAAAATCGGACGTCTATATCATATAGCTCCCTTAGAAATAATAAAAATGTATAAAATAACTATCCAATAATTGGGCTGCAAATCATCATAGCTTCAATGTTTTTAAACATATACGAAAGTAAATCATAATTTTAATGTTTTCAAAAATGTTTAATTCTTGCAATAGCTGCAAGGGTATATGAACTTCGGCTTGCCGAAGTTTGCTTTCTTTCTTGTTTTTAATTAGCTTTGTGATATAGCCATGAGATTCGGCTCGTTTCGACTTATATACAACCTGCAAAAGGAAAACAACTTTTGGGAAAGTCCAATGCGGATAGCTTTAAAAGTGAACAAATTTGCATAGAACCTGATGGCTGTACGGACAGACGGACATGGCAAGAAAAAAAAGCAAACTTCTGCAAGCCGAAGTTTATATACCCTTGCAGCTATTGCAAAAACGAAATATTCTTGAAAACATTAAGATAATGATTTACTTGCTAAAATGATCCCAAAAAACACACTTAAAATAAATGACTTTGAAGGCATTAGTTCATTTCATCTTCAGTTAAATAAAACATTTTTTTAGCTCATAAGTTGAATTATAAAATTTGTTTATACCCTTGCAGCTATTGCAAATATTAAATATTCTTGAAAACATTTAAATTTTCATTTATATGTGTATATGTTTAAAAACATTGAAACTAAGAGGATTTTCAGCTCAATTAATCGATCGTTCCTATTACAGCTATACGATATCGCTTTCCGATTTTAATAGAACTAAATAATTTATTCTGAACTGTCAAATTATTAATAAGTTAAAACTTATTGAAAAAAACATACAAAATAGAAAATGTAAATTAAAAAAAACAAGAATGGAAGCAAACCTCGGCAAGCCGAAGCTTATATACCCTTGCAGCTATTGCAAAAACGAAATATTCCTTGCAAGCATTAAAATAGTGATTTACATGCGTATATGTTTAAAAACATTGAAGCTATAATGGTTTGCAGCTTAATTATTTGATAGTTCCTATGGCAGCTATATGATATTGTTTTCCGATTTCAATAAAATTAAAAGCATAATTCTGAACTGTCAAATTATTAATAAGTCAAAAATAATTTAAAAAAATAACAAAATAGGAAAATTACATCTAAAAACGAATTTTTTTATATTTCTGTTGATTTTTAATGGGAGCCTTATGAATGCTGAAGCTTACGGATTGAACATAAAGCAAATGTATGTACAGGCTCGTGCCAAGATAACGAATACAGCAAAATTGCTTTTGGATTCTACTCACTTTACACACATACACCCAGATGCGGCTTTTGCTGGAGACGGAGTTTAGTCGCCAATACGTGTGCAGCGCGGATCTTCGAAAAAAAACGTAAGCAGGAATCTTTTCTCGAGTATCTTTTGCAGATGAGGAAGATTGCAGCACTTGGCAGCATAGATGCACGTTCTGAAATACGCTACATTGTGAACGGCCTATGTCTGAGGAGCGACTTCAAATACTCTCTCTAAAATTACAAATCTTTCAGAGAGCTGCAGAAGCAGTATGAGGTTTTTGAGTGTGTAGCCAAAAAGGGAAATAAGCCGTTCCCGTCGAACGACAGTAGTTGGTCCCCAAATCAGGAAAAGCAGCACGAATTTAACGACAAAAAGAGTCATTGCCTTAACTGTGGATCTGCCGATCATTTTTGCAACAAAGAGGGTCATATGTCTAGAAATTGCCCTGGATTAGCTGCTGGTGTCAAAGTTGTGCGCAGTGCGAATCGCATGAAGAAGGTCACCCTTAACGGCGTCGAAGTGGAATGCCTGGTATATACCGGAGCCGATGTATCCGTATTGAGAACGTTCATCTTCATCAAAATTCCTAATGTTACCTTGGAGAAAAGTGAATCGAAGCTGCGTGGTCTGGGAATGAAGATCACATGCCCAGTTGAACGTTTTTTTGCTGTTGTCGCGGTAGATGAAGTGACGACTTCACAAAGCATCGTTGTCATAGACGATGAAGTTATTGAATATGATGCGCTGCTCGAATATGATTTCGTTTCTAACTTCAACCTGTCATTCTCTGCGGAAGGATACAAGTTTTCTTCCCTGCAAGGGGAAGAAGTTTGCAAGCAAACTTCGGCAAGCCGAAGTTCATATTCCCTTGCAGCTATTTCAAAAACTAAATACTCTTGAAAACGTTAAAATTATGATTTACTTGCGTGTATGTTTAAAAACATTGAATAATGATTTGCAGCATAATTATTCGATAGTTCCTATGGCGGCTATACGATTGTTCCTATGGGAGCTATATGCTATAGTCGTCCGATTTTGATGAAATTTAAACCGTAATTCTGAAATATTAAACCATTACTATCGAAGAATTAAAAAAAAAATTAAAAAATAGCAAAGTTATAATATTTATCCGATTGTTCCTATGGGAGCTATATGATATAGTCGTCTGATTTTTAACTATTACTGCACGTCGAAGAACCAAAAAAAAATTAGGAAACGGAAAAGTTATATATTTAACTTTAAATCTGAGAGACCAGTTTGCGTAGAAACGGACGGACAGACGGACGGACAGACGGACGGACAGACGGACGGGCAGACGGACATGGCTAGATCGACTCTCGTATAGGGTCGGACATGTCTCCTTCTTTGCGTAGCAAACTTCTGACTAAAATTATAATACCCTCTGCAAGGGTATAAAAAATTACAAAGTAGAAAAGTTACATTTAAGTAAAACAAATTTTTATATATTTTTATTTTTTCCATGGGAGCTATATGATATAGTCGCCCGATTTTGATGAAATTGAAACCGTAATTCTAAAATATTTGACTATTACTATATGTCGAAGAACTAAAAAAAAAATTAAATAACAGCAAAGTTAATTTTTCCGATTGTTCTTATGGAAGCTTTATGATATAGTCGTCCGATTTTGATGAAATTTAAACCGTAATTCTGTAAAATTAAACCATTACTATCTATCGAAGAACTAAAAAAAATCAAAAACAGCAAGGTTCTAATATTTTTTTATTTATTTTTCGATTGTTCCTATGGGAGCTAGGGAGCTTGGACGCCTATAGCATGTCCAATCCGGCTCGTTCCGACTTATATATTACCTGGAATAGAAAAACAACTTTTGGGAAAGTTTCATGCAGATAGCTTTCAAACTAAGAGACTAGTTTGTGTAGAAACGGACGGAAAGACGGACGGACGGACGGATATGGCTAGATCGACTCTCCTAGTGATGCTGATCGAGAACATATTTACTTTATAGGGTCGGAAATGTCTCCTTCACAGCGTTGCAAACTTCTGACTGAAATTATAATACCTTCTGCAAGGGTATAAATATGAAAAAATATTTTAATTTCAATAGATAAGAAAAGTTTATTGCAACTTGCCACCAAAAAAAAAAAGTTATTTGAGTTTTTGGGTGCATTTTTGGAAGCTTTTTTGAACTTACTTTTTATTTAATAATTCTTATTTACGATCCCAGAAAATTATTTTAAAATTATTATTACCCTCAATAATAGGTTAATGTTTTTTAATGACTCAAAAGCCAGTTACCAATTCTTTCTTGCGCAAGTGGTAATAGTTTAAAGAATGGTCCATCCTGAAACATAAGCAATATTAAAGGCAAGGCAAATATAAAAACAATGAATTTGTAATGTGTGTAAACATGTATATTTATATTTATTGTAACAATTACTCTAGTTCGATAAATATAACAACTCTAGTTTTTAAAAAAATAAAAGCATTCCTTAAGCTCAGTTGACATTTGAGTATGTGGAAAGTCAATTGGGAGACAATCATCAAGAGTCGATATAAATTTTCCAGTATTGTCATATGAAGTAGTTCTTTGTCGAAACCTCGTTGCCGAAACACTGAATTTTTTTTTTTTTGCATCGAAAAACATATTTAATTCGTCAAGTTTGCTAAATAAATTTTCAAGATCTCGGTCCACGCTTTTAAGAAATTTACATCGTATAGTAAAGCTTTTAGACCTAAAACAATTAAAAATATTTTGGATGCGAAACTCTAACTGTTTTAAAATGTATTTGACATTAATTTGTGTCACGGCATAAACGTCATATGCAAAAATAAGATGATCCCCAGCAGCACATTTAAAAATCTGAGCTGAATGTTTTTGTAAAAAGTCAACATAAAGTTTGCAGCACTCCAGATTAAGCTTCAGTTTCCAATTTTGCAGAATTAAACTTTGAGTATCAGCATAGTACAAAAATATGTTTTTAATCGCCCTTAGGGTTTCTATTGTGTATTCCAGAGCTTCGTCTATAATTTCTGAAAAAAGTACGTGAAAAAATTCCATTTCCGCAAAATAATTTGTAAGCAGAACTTTAACGAGTGTTGGTTGAGCTGTTGGGACTTGTCGCAGCTTTAACAAAAGAGCATGACTTGTATTTTTCGTTATTTCATATAAACTGTCAGTATCAACAGCGAATTGTTCGAAAGAGAATGATGCTTTATAAAAAAATGTCGACAATTCCTGCATTCTAATTATATAGTCTTCAATATTCGCAGCAGTATTGTCCGAGTCACTTAACACTGACGACATGGTCAAATTTTGTTGAAGTTTTTCCAGGAAATGTCGTAACTTATGTTGAAGATTTTTTTTACTGCCTTCGGACTTTTCGATTGCTTTATAAAATTCCTTCGGTATTTGTTCTCCTTTTAAGGATTGCGGCAAATGGTATGATCCGGCGTGGTGCCGATTAGCACTGACAATTATTTGATTGGCTTGAATAAACCATATTTGCCAGGTAATAAAAGTAAAACAGAACCAATTCATTGCAACTATTACGATAAAGCTCGCGCTGCCTTGAACTACTACAAAATAGAGAATTAAAAGAACTGAGATGAAATGCAGACGCTGCTTTTAAATTTTTGTTAGTATATGAATGATACATAAATAGCTCATAAGATATTTTCACAAACTGACAAAAGTTGCTACATATAGACAACCTCATTTATAATGGGCACAGCTGAGGTGAAATCGTAAGAGGCATAGTAATTTGTACCCTAAGGTTTTAAATCAGTGGGGTATATACACTTTGTCGAGTATATGCTCATTAATGTTATATTAAATAAGTAAATACTGTTTTCTTCTAGTTTCCTTTAAATATTTTGTGTTTTAATTGAGTAAAAATCCCATATAAATTTAGGTTCCATCGGCTAAGGGTTCCGCGACAAAGCTAAGAATACGGAAATTCGATGTTTGACGACATTTTTAATTATGCTTGGAGGTTCATAATTTATTTTTGCTGATAAAAACTTTTAAAACTCCTCCACATTTCAAAAAAATTAACCATTATCCCTTTTTTTAATTTTATTAAAAAAAACAAATTTTGAATTTGCAAGAATAACATTTGTATATAAATAATCAGGTTTTATCAGTGTTTTATCTACTATTAAAACAGAAAAAAGGTCGTTTAGAAAGTTAAAGAGAATTTTTCATATATAATAGTAGTACTTCAATTATAAGAATATATTTTATTTGTTGCGTGTATGTAACGGGTAGAAGGAAACATTGTCGAAAGTGCTTGTATTCTTGGTCGTGTGCAGTAGCCGTGTCGACCTAACGATGTCCGTTTGTCTGTCAGTCCGTATGAACGTCGATTTGGTATTTAATATGCAGCCTACAATTTGACCACCTTACAAAGCGCCAAGATATTGTTAGCCAAACTATTTAAAATAATATTGTTTTTATCATAGTCTTTTACAAGATATTGGATTGCAGCAATTACAATTTGTGACATTTTTTTTTATTTTATATTGCGTTTAACGAGTTTTTCGATTCTCGCTTAAAAAGTTTATACAGGCCACAGTTCGAAGGAATGAGTTGGCCTTTATGGAACGACTTCGACCTACAAACGGTTCTGTTTGAAGACTAAATCCTATAAAAGCTACACATTTTTTGTGTTTAATACTTTTTGAAAAGCTTAAAAGTAAAAAAAATCTCACGGTTTGTAATTCTATTATTGGACCACAAAATATGAAAAATTGCACTTACTTTTTAGTCATTTGAATAATAAACTCGAAATAAACTTCGCAAGCCGAAGTAAATATACCCTTGCAACTACCAAAATAATCAAATATTCTTGAAAACATCTATTTCGAATTATTAAGCTTTAATGATTTCCAGCAATATTATTCGCACAATATGCTTAAAAACATTGAAGCTATGCTGATTTTTGGCTCAATTATTAAGTTCTTCCTATGGCAGCTATATGATATCGTTTCCTTTTTTAGTCAAATTAAAAGAGTAATTTTTAATCATTATCAAGTTACTTATCCAAAAAATGTTTTAAAAATATATATTGGAGAATTTTAATTTATTTATTTTTTTAATCTTAATATTTTGAGTTGTTCGATTTTAATAATATGTAATCCGTAATTCTTAAGAAACAAACCACTACTAAATATTAAATAGCTACAGAAAATATTATAAAACATGTGACGACCCACCGTCACAAATATAAAATTCAACTTTCACATTAAAGCTTAAAAAGAACATTCCAAGTACTGGCCTTTTATTATTCGCGCCAACAGCCCCCGGTCACATTTATTCGACGAAGTTATCGATTGCCGATAATCATCGCCCAATAAACCCGATCACCCAAAGCGGGATTATCATCATCGTCCGATCTGGTCACACTAAGCAGCGCCTATATAAGCGGAGACACAGACCCAGACCAGTCACTTGCGTTCCGACGACTCTCGGGGAAACAACCAACAGGAGGAACCGTGGTGGACCCGTAAGAGTTCGGTTTGAAATTCGGCTCTACGACCTGGTGAGGATCACCGACGCCCGGTGTGGTTTAGGAATACGCACCTAGGCCCGGTCGAGATCGCTGAGCCCGGCACGGTTTTCGTAACTCCAGCCCATCTTAGTGAGTTCCTCCCAGAAGTCACTTTTCCGGCTTCCGACCCGGAAACGATACGGAATAAAACGGCAGCTCGAAACTAACGATGCCCGGCAGCTCGAAAGCACTCAGCCACCACACATCGGCAACACCAAGCAGAACCACACTTGGTCCTTCCGCAGCGCCGATATCACCAAGCAGAACCACACTCGGCCCTTCCGCAGCGTCGATATCAACAAGCAGTACCACATTCGGCCCTTCAGCAGCGCCGACACCACGTAGAAAGCAGTATCACGCTCGATATTATTATAGTTAGAAAACGTAGTCTTAATCAATCGTACGATAAAAATATAACCATACTCTGAAGCGTTCGATTTGTGTTATTATTTGGGGAAAGGGAGGTAAACCGATAAAAAGAGGAAATAAATTTCTGTCTCGAACCCTGGCCACGGCGAGCTATACCGCCTCCCAAAACAGGGTCGCTACAGTGGCGCCCGAGCAAATTGAACACAAAAAGACAGTATCCTCAAATAGAAACACCAAAGATCGTTTACCCTCTTCCTCAACACAACACAACATAATACAATGGCAGAGAAGTTAACTCGAGGCTGGATAAACAATGCCAATAAAGCCCAACTGGAAGCCTATCTAATAGAATTCGAGGTCAAACCAGAAACACTGTGCGAGGACATGCGAAGACAAATGTCAGATTTTATAAAGAACGGCAACCACGGCGAGGAAACTATCAAACGCCTCTTGGAACTGGCTCAGAAACACGCAAGAAGCCTATCTCCAGCACCTAACGGAACGGTAAACCAACTGAAAGGCATTAGCGAGACAACCGACACAGAGGAACACATCGAGGAAAAACATAAATATCTGCAAGTGCCGAACACGGCGGAGTTTGTCGAAGGAAAACCTGGACCTAAGCCCACAAGGACAGAAGGAAATAAAGTGGCCACGATGGGAGTAATACGAAGCTGGGGAGAAGAATACGACGGAACTGGAAACCCGGAAGAGTTCATTAGCAGAACAGAGGAATTAGCAGAGGCATACGGCATAGATCTAGATCATGCAGCAGGAGCAATGGTAATACTTCTCAGAGTTGGATTGGTGGCAAACCCACCCAAACCCGATGCCGTCATGGAGCACCTTCCGGAAAGAATTCCTAGAGTATTACAGCTGGCATGAGGAGAAAGCTATGGAAAGCATCACACATAGACACCAGGACGAGAACGAGCCAGCGAAGGAATATGCGCTAGAACTCAGGAAAATCATGCGATTCACTACGCTCACAGAAGAGTAAAAACTGGAGTGGGTGTACCGAAACAGTCGAGTGGAGTTCAAGCGATATGCCAAACGTGGAGAATGCCAAACCCTAGCGGAATACCTCCGACTAGCCGAGGAATTCGAAGCACTCCAACCACATGGGCACACAGCACAGCAGACAACGCAACAAACACCGGAAACTCGCTTGGGACACCAACCACCAGGAAGTTACTGAAGACCACCAAGAAACCAATGGAGACCCCAAGAAACACAACCAATACTTAACAGAGACGTCACAAGATCTTGGGACATGAGCAATAGATGCTCGCGGTGTAAAGCAGTGGGACACATAGCACGCGGATGCAATAACCAACCAAGACTGTTTTGCTGGGTATGCGGACAGGATGGAATATGAACAATTCATTGCTGCCGCAGGAATGAAACGACGGGAAACGGAAGACGCCCATGGGATCAGAGCGGGCACCCAGGGCACACACCACACCCGCAACATCAATAAAGTTCAACGGCCGACATCTACTAGCACAAGTCATCATACGCAGCACAAGAATTCGCGGTGCAATTGACACAGGAGCCACACGGAGTTTTATCGGCCAAGAACTAGCCAGTAGAATAGCCAGACATGGGAAAAGAAAACAAGTAATTGAAGCCATAAGACTTGCAGACGGAACAAACAGAACGGTCACAGAGGCACTAGAAGTACCAATACAACTCGGGACACAAACAAACACAACAACACAATTAGTCCTCGACGAAGTCATCGGAGACCTACTGTTGGGAATAGACTTCTTGGAACAATGCAACGCTACACTAGAATGCGGAGGCATCACAGCAAAAATTGGAACAATGCAACGCTACACTAGAATGCGGAGGCATCACAGCAAAAATTAAAAAAAAAAGAGGAACCAACGCAGGAGCAAGAAACGCGAAAGACGCGTCGGCATCGGATCTCTAGAAACAGGGGATTTATCAGACGCACAGATCCAAGAGACCCTCAAAAGGGAGTTAGAGATGATGAGCCAAATTAAAGGAGTAAGTCACATTGCACGCCACAAAATCTTCATGAAGCACGACCGCCCAATTAAACAGAGGTACGAAACCCAGAAATGCAGTCTATAATAAACAAACAAGTCGACGAACTCATAGCACAGAACCTCATAGAACCCTCGCACTCCGCTTACAGTTCGCCAGTGGTAATCGTGGAAAAGAAAAACAAGGAATGGAGGCTTTCCATAGACTATAGGCAACTGAACGAACACTCTGAGCGAGATGCATACCCAGTACCACTAATGGATCACATTCTCAACCAACTCCGCGAGGCAAAATACATACGCACACTGGATCTGAAAAGTGGCTACTTTCAGATACCGATGGACGAAGAGAGTAAACCGTACACTGCCTTTAAGGTACCAGGAAGCGGACTGTTTCAGTGGAAAGTAATGCCTTCGGACTAATCACAGCACCAGCGACGTTCCAAAGAGCGCTAGACTCAGTCATCGGACCAGAGATGGAACCATTCGCGTTCGCATACCTGGATGACATAGTGGTAATCAGACGCACGAAACGGGAACACCTGGAGAAGCTACAGGAGGTAATAAGGAGACTCCGCAAGGCAAATCTAAAAATCAACACAGAGAAATGCCACTTTTTTAAGGTGGAACTGAAATACCTAGGACACGTAATTAGCGCAAGAGGTATACACACCGACCCGGAAAAGATAGCCGC